ATGTTCCTCATCCCCTGGGTGGGAAATCTGATGTGCTTTGTAATTTTCCATGGGATTGGAGTTCCCCAGTGCTCCCTATTGGGATTGGTTCTTTAGTTGGATTAGTTCAAATCTACTACAGGGATAACTAGCCTGGTAACATGCAGCAGACATCCCTGCCCAGTACTAGCAGGCTACATATGAGTAGCAGATGCTTCTTGCTTCTCTGTAATCTGACTATGTTGTTTTATCTTAGGAGTCTGACTGAAGCTTAACTTGACTCAAATGGGCATGTTGAATAGAGTTGAGCTAATATTGCTCCTTTGCTAATGGCTGCTACTGAGTCTTTAGTCTTAGCCTGTGAAGTAGCAGGGCTTAGCTGAGTTTACTTCCAGCCAAGGTCGACCTGGCTCCAACCAAATCCTTCCCCTGAATTAAGGCTTCTCAGTGACCTGATAGGTTGCTGGTTAATTGCAACCCAGTCTCAACACCCTTTGATCTCTCCAAGCAAGATAAGCAGTGCCTTCCTCCTTTACCCCCCTGCCTGCGTACCAATCAGCTGTGACAGATGCTTCCAGCCGGATGCTTCTGGATGCTTCACACCATGTCACTAGGTGTCTTCAAAGCATACCCTGCTCACCTTCCTGTGCTTGAGATCAATGAATTGTCTTTGCTGCCCAGAGCAGCGTAGATCAGCCCCAAGACCCCGTTCTCTCCAAGTCTCACTTCTTTCTTTACTCTCATTGGCTTGTATTGTAGTGCCTCACAGGAGACTGTAGACACTCTGCAGGGGTCTATGCTAAGTCCCCATTCCTGTTCCCTATAGTAACACACCCTTTATCCGGGTGCCTTCCTTTTCCTGTCTCACTTTCCTTTTACCGTGTACATATTTTATGATCTCTTAAAAAAAAAACCAAAACAAAAAACTACCTTTGCTCAAATCTTCCTCTCAGAGCTTTAGACTCAGACATTTAGTAATTTAAGTACAGTGTGGGTGTTGTTCAACCATATTAACTAGAAACATGGGATTATCCAGTACCTGCTATTCCTTGAGCGGGTTGAATAGCTGCTGTTTGTCAGTTTTCTGTCCTTGTGACAAAGATAACTGAGAAAAATCAACCTTAAGCAGGGAAGGTTTGTTTTGGCTCCATGGTTTCTGAGGTTTCCATCCATGCCCTTGTTTCTAGGCCTGTGACAAGACAGAAACAGTGCAGTAGTACAGCAGAGGAAAGGTGCTACCTGGTGGCAGCCAGGAAAGAGGCATGGGTGAGGGTGACACATTCCCTTCCAAGGCACACCCCCAGTGCCTACTTCCTCCAACTAGGCCCTACCTCCCAAAGTTTCCATTATCTCCCAACAATGCCATCAAATTGTAAATCCTTTAGTGATTGGCCTGCAGATGCCGTCAGAGCCCTTGTGATCCAATCACTTCTTCAAAGCCCTCACTTCTGAAAGTTGCCCAGTTGAGGACCAAGCCTTCAATACATGACTCTTTGGGGGATACTTTACATTTAAGCCATAACAGTTGCGCAGTGTAACATGCATGGTGATTGCAGTACTAAGAGCTACGCATTGTTCCAAAGTGTTGTTTTAGACAAGTTGTGACTTGCACGCATTCTTCTGTTAACAGCACCTCAACTTTCCCGTGGGGAACACTCTTCTCCTACCCTTGGAACTTAGCTCTCTAGGGTGGCCAATAAACGAGCCACAACTCTCCAATCGCCTGAGTGGCTCTGTTTGGCATGCAACCCAAACCAGACCAAGTAGAGTCAACCCCAGGGCTTTATCAGGGGCTTTCAGGAAAGAGGTAGATTCTTTCCACTGGCTGTTAAGCTAAAAGGTGGTAAGTCTGGGATCACATACATAGGGGCTTAGCAACAAATGGTCAACTTTAAGGAAAACAGAGCTGGGAGATGGAGAGAGAATCAGTCCTGATGATGTCAGTGGTACTCCAGGTCCAGCTGTGACTGTGTTTCTCAGTCATACGATTTTCTGTTCTGTTCTTGCAATAGATCTGATCCTGGCCATGCTGTTGAATGGAGAAGGAGATTCTCTGGGGGAGTGCAGGGTTCCCTTCTTAGAAACTGCTATCTTAATGGACCCTGCAGGCTACACTTGGATGTGGGGACTGAGAAGAAAAGTGGCTCTGGAGCCAGGCTTACATCAATGATTAAATTCTCTGAGGACCAAAGGGTCATTCTGGGCCCCAATTTTGGGTCTGGATGGTGTTATGAAATGTAGCCTTTGCCAGAAAGAGGTTGGACAGAAGGGTAGGTTACCATGGCAATGTGAGATGCTGAATGATGGGGGTCAAGGCTGGATTGCTCCTCCTGTCTTATGGACCCCCCCTGGATGTTCCATCCCTGGAACACAGTGTCATGTGTTTCCCCCTGGGCACCTGTATGTCTGTTTCTGAGGGTGGTGCCACGATCTCATAGGCAGTCTGCAGAGTTTCTAATGAGATTGCCCTGCTCTAAGTGGGCACTGCCTTACACTCCATGGGTGGTTTAGATAAAGTCTGTGTCCATCTACTGACTGGCTGGTAAGGAGGGAGGGTCTGCAAAGGACAATACTGGCCACAGCCATGAAGAACAGTGAAAATAAGAGTCAGGTACTGGTGGAAGTTCAAGCCAGATACAGGACAGAATAAGACAAAAGCAGATGGAGAGGACGGTTGGGAAAGGTGTGTAAGCCTCTAGTGTGGGCTGGAAACCAACACAGGCAGAAGGCAGAAGATGCCAGGGCTGAATAAGGAGGAGATTTACAGGAGGCTGTGGCCCGGGATGGGTAGCTGAGGACACCCTGGAGTCTGGGTAAGGGAGATGGATGAAGCGGCCCACTTTGACATGGCCGGTTAATACAGCTGAGTCAAAAGTCTCTGTCAAGATGTAGAATTGCTGTTTTAAATTAATTGCTGATGTTCCTATCATAGTCCCTGGAAGAGGATGGGGCAAGGCTCAGGGTTGGGATCTGATTTGATCTGATTTGATTATTACTTGGTAAAAGTAATTACTTGGCTGAAAGTTTAATGGTTTGGTCTGTAGGCTGTGTTAAATGTGCCTGTGTAAAAAAAAAAAAAAAAAAAAAAAACCATCAAAATGTCATTGACAACTCATTTCTTATCATATCTAAACTAGAAATGAAGTCTTCCTTTTAATCTTTGCTGTTCAGCAAAAAGTTTTCTCTGGTGGAGTGGAGGAGGGATGGATGGGAAGCTTACTCAGTGAGCCTGAAAAGGGGAAATGTGTCCTCCCTAGCTGATCCTGCAATGCCCTGTGACTCAGGCTGCACATGCCACCATGCAGCATGAGCACCTGAGAGCTTGTTAGAAACACAGGCTCTCAGGCCTGATCCCAGACTCAATGAAGACCTGTACTTTAATAAGATTCTCCCATACTCTGTGTGCACAGAGACATTCTGGGAGGCCGGCTGTAATGGATTTTCCTTATGGCATTTTCCACGTTACAATGGCACTCTGTCCTCATCAGCAGGAGAGGGTGGAGCCAGTAGCCATACTGGACACATGACACCTCATCATGGTTCATTGGGTTGTGTCTGGTCATCTGACTCAAGCTGGGCCAATCAGCTCTTCTCTGGAAATTTAGATTAGGGGTGTGTGTGTGTGTGTGTGTGTGTGTGTGTGAGAGAGAGAGAGAGAGAGAGAGAGAGAGAGAGAGAGGAGAAAGGAAAGGAGGGTAAGAGGAAATTGGAGAGGAGAAAGGTGAGGGAGGGAGACAGATATCTCTTCTTTAGGCAGCTGGATATGTGTCATGTATAACCAGGAGTGAATCATTTTATACTGGGTTGCTATGTCCTGAACAAAGGAAACTAGTGGGTAGAGAGCTAAGATTGAGGCATATGTGTTAAACAAGGGGCAGTGACCATGTCTTATTCCATCTGAGCTGTGATAACAGTATCAGAGACTGGGTGGCTTATAAACAACAGAAATTTATTTCTCACAGTTCTGGGGGTGGGGAAGTTCAAGATCAGATTGCCACTAGACTTAGTGTTTGGTGAGAGCTCTTCCTGATTTTCCAAAGGTGTCTTTGGAATGTTTTCTCATATGGAAGAAGGGGTGAGGGCTGCTAGGATCTTTTTTATAGGGACATGAATCCTGGGAGATCCCTCATGACCTAACCACCTTCCATTGGCCCTATCTTCTAACACCACCACCTTAAGGGTTAGGATTTCAATGTGTGAATTTTGTGAGGATGCAAAATATTCAGATCATAGCAGATGGCTTTTATGTTCTGCTTCTAGCCCCATCCTAAACTAAAGCTGAAATTTCACCCTTGGGCTCCATCGAGCATCCCTGAGTGTTGATAAAGACCCTACCAACCATGTCAGCTAGGATTTGCAGTGGCATCAAAAGAACCCAACTCTGGCTGTCTTCCATTGGGGAGAATCTCTTGGTTGCGGGTGGTGTTGTAGGCCATGGGAGGAGGGTGATACCAAAGGAGCTGAGTGAGTCAGACTGAAGAAACCACAGCCAAAGTCGCTGCCATTAAAGAATAACCTCGTGTTGCTCCGGATCTACTATCTATGAAATTGCACACATAAAAGACACGGTCATTCCGCATGGGAACACCTAGCGTATGCCATCATGAAGAAACAGTATATGCTGGGCAGTAAAAACTGTAAAGGACTGTGTCCTGGTCTCTGTCCTGAATCAAGGGTTCAGAGGGAAGTAACTTATTTGATGAAGAGTCCAGAAGACAGGAAGGAAGGAGGGAGCAGACAGAGCAAGCCTAGAATCCAGTAAAAGATATGTTACTAGGTCATTGCTGTGGGCAACATGGACTCTGCTATTTATTGAAAAGCGGGCAGAACACCTCCAAGGATGCTCTTCCTGAGTCAGGGTGGCAGGTGAACCCACCTTTGAGGACCACCTCCAGTACCACACATCCCCAGTATGCTTCCACTGTGCCCCTCTTGTTGCTTTGTGTCTTAGAGGGAGCTCTGGGCAGAAAGCAGAGAAGGACCAGCTAATATGCCCTGAGTAATCTCTTTCTCTTGTCCAGAAACTGGTCAGTGTTCAGAAACCTTCTGCTCCAGCACAACTGAAATGAGAGAAGACTGAGTAAGCCTCATACATGGCACAGAAACACCTGCTGCCATCACAACACACCTGAATGTCACATCGCCTTCTCCTCTGGGCCTGAGTAACCTGGACTCTGGGAACACGGTAGATGCTCACGAATTGGAATGGCTGTGTCATTATCTCAGGTCATCGGCCTATTATCTTCCGATTAAAATTCCCCCTTCTGTCTGTACAAATGGAATAAATTGGTCAAATGAGAACCTTATTCATAGTAACAAGCAAGGACACAATCTCTTAACTTTCTTTGTGTTTTTATAGATTTCTATGATTTTTATTTTGTAGAAAATGTACACCGTAGCATGCCAAACACCATACATCTCTTTAATAAATAAAAAGCAATTGCTGAAAGATTTCCTGCTCAACAGATCATTTTCCTAGTTCCCGCCTCATAAAATTTATGGAAAAAATGGCAAATTTCTCATTTATTTGGCTGATTTTAGCTTTGTACATGGGCAACAAATGCATCCTTTGAACTTGGATCTTCCCATTTATTTGCAAAGTCTCCATGGAGGCAGCCCTGTTGCTGTTGTCTTGGGTGAGTCTCTGTACAGAACGACCATGCTCTGGCAGAGATAGGGGCTGGCATCTCTTTAGCTTTCTTGGACTGGAATTCTCCTTGTTTTTGATTTGTGGCATGCTTGCCTTGCCCCACACACCTGTCCCTGTCGAGATAGGTGCCCTCTGATTTCCACAGTGCAGCTCCATCTCTCTCAGGTATTACCTGCTGAATCGTTCAGAGTGCACCCCTATTGGTGGCCGACTTGACTTTCAGGACATGCAGTGGTCAAGGCTCTTGTCCAGAGGTTTACCCATATTTCCTACTGGGTTCGGAGACACACAGGTTTCCTTTGGCTCAGACAACCCACCACTCACTGATTCTTGTTTCCACATCTCAAAGTACTCTGGAAAGAGATCCAATAAGGCTGCTATGTCTGGTGACAGCCGCTTGTGAAGAAGCACTGAGTTTTGCCTGAGCGCCAATCACTCTGGGCATAACGGAAATCCAGCTGTGTCTATGTGTGACAGGACTCTCCAAGTATCCGGGAGAGGAAGGCAGCCTCTTCAGGCCCAGCTCAAATGCCACTTCAGTTCAATCCCACCAATGCTTGATGAGACCTTGTTATCTCCCCCACTCCCCTGGGACCCTATTGCAATTAATTATTTCTCCTCCTGGGTTCCTTTTAAAACTCATTACTGTGTCTATTGCCGTCTGGCTTAAATTCCTGTTAAAGATAGGCATGTTTTTTCTTCTTGATAGATGCCAGATCCTTCATGGGGGTTGGAGAGTGGTTCTACAGTTATCTATTTCCCTTCTAAACACAGCTGTTTACAGAGTAAGAATCAATGTGTGCTAGTTGAAGGAACACATGTAGTTTATGTCCAGGGCCTACCTTGTGGGCGCGTGGTCCCCAGGACATCCCATATTCCAGCTACTCCTTTACCTGACTTCTGGTTGCCTCCCCTCCAGTTCTTCAGGAGGTGAGGTGCCGTCCGTGCTTCCCACCTAGGACGCCTGCTGGGTGCCTCCACACCGAGCCACCAGGAGCTGGGATGGAAAGCACTGCACTTCTGGATGGTTTCTCTGCACCGAGTAAGTTCTTTTGAGAGCAAGTGAAAAGTTACATCTTTACAAATGGGATCACAACTTCTTTTTGGTGAAAATGCCTTTTTAAAAAATATTAAAGATATTTTATTGCTTTCATCGTATTATGGAAGTAACACATGCTGGTTATAGAAGAGTCAGACCTCCACCAAACATTAAAGTCCACACAGTTCCTCCTGCATGGAGACATAAATTTTTAACACTTTGGTGTGTAGTCATCTAAATCTTTATTCTTGTGCATGTGTGTGTATGTGTGTGTGTGTGTGCATGCACACACATGGACTTCTTTTTCTCTGCTTAATAAAACTGGGATTCAAATCCTATTTTAAACATCCTGTGGGAGCTTGCTATTTAAAGGAATTCTAAAGTGAATCCTTTTGAGATATGAATAATTCCCTGGGGATTTATTTGTGCTATGGGCTCAGGTAAAATCCAGAAGTCATAAACTGTCTATGGTTGGGAGGAGGAGAGTGCCTGACAGTCTCAAAATTTCTATCTAGGTCTCTGCCCATCCACCCATCCATCCACCATCCACCCACCCAGCTTGCTATTTAAAGGAATTCTAAAGTGAATCCTTTTGAGATATGAATAATTCCCTGGGGATTTATTTGTGCTATGGGCTCAGGTAAAATCCAGAAGTCATAAACTGTCTATGGTTGGGAGGAGGAGAGTGCCTGACAGTCTCAAAATTTCTATCTAGGTCTCTGCCCATCCACCCATCCATCCACCATCCACCCACCCACACAATCCATCCATTATCTATTCATCTATCATATATTTCCTAATTGAGTGTTGAGAGACTGACATGAAAAGGCAGGCAGGAAAGCCAGAGCTGGGTTGATTGAGTGCCCTCCACAGGGAATCTCATGCACACAGTGCCACATATTTATGACGCTCCCCAAGGACTGGATTACACAGCGAAAGATTAACATCCCTGCTGCACAAATTAAAAATGCTCTATTATTTGCAGCATGGAGCGGACTAGCTGAAGATCAGCATCTTCTCTTTGAACAACATAATTGAATGTCTCTCAGCCCGAACCTCTCGCTGTATTGATTTGAATTAATTATTTGTGCATTTGTAATCCCCTGGCTTCCCCAGCCCAGGAGTGCCCTGAATCGCACCACTGCACGGCTGCGCCTCCCAAGCTGTCACCCCTGGTCTGGAAGCCTTTGACAGTCCTAAGGACAATTAATCAGTCAAATGGAATCAGTTTTTTGCTGATAAAGGAGAGCCTGGCTTGTAAAACTGACATCCCATTTTATGGGAATTAACGTTCTGAAAAGCGACTGTGGTCTGCCTTAGTTAAAAGCACAGAATCATTAGATTCCCGTTCAGAGAAGCTCTGGGGGGCGGTGCCGGGAGGGAGCAAAGTTTTTTTATTGAGGATCCTAGGGCTGGGGCAGCAAGGAGAACTTGAACAATCATGGCCAAGTCTTTTGGTATTTAGAGAGCAGAAATTATGGAGCTGCAAACGGAATCAATCTGTTATGTAGATAAGAAGTTAGCAGATTGTGTTATAGACACATTGCAGATTTTCTTCCAAAACAAAATGGAAAATTTCATATACTAAATTTGTCAAAAGGGGGAAAAGGTACACAAACACACACACACCCCCAATCAACATTTTCAAGGGAAGAGACTCAAATGATTTGCAATCCAATTTGACTTTGTTGCTGTGTTCTCAAATTAAAAACCAGACACACATTATTTTGAGACATCAATGGCCCGATTCAGCAGTGGGATTGTGGTTAACCAGAAAACTTGTTTTGCTTCTGCACTGTTTTCAGGACTGCTCCAAAGGTGCGACAACTACTGGCCATATAAGGCCATATAAGGCCAGTAGGGTGACCTCAGCTGGTCGAGGCCACTGGTAGAGTAGGATGTTGCTGGCTGAGGGCTCCTGGTTGCAAACTCTCGCACTCTTACAGGTGCTCAGAGACCATGTGCCTGCAGGGGGCACCTGGGTGGGAGTGAATTGCAGGGTTCACAGGGAAGTGGGGAGACAGCATTCAGTATCAGAGGGCAGCTGCTGACAGCACCGACCGATTGTTACCAAATCAGAATATGGACCCTACGTGGCAACATATTATGATTGGTTTTCCCAAGGGAAGCCAGAAACTTGGATTTTTACTTGAGAGTGTCTGATATTATAAGGTAATAATAAAAATCCTTACTTTAAACTAAACAAAATGTACCTGTGAGCTAGATGTGCTTGTGAGCTGTTAGTCTGCAGCTTCTGGGTAGGAGGTGGAGTTAGATGTAAATTTATCTTGGGCGTGGTGGAAAGGGACAGTTTTTACTGTTTTTGTTCTCAGAGAATGAGACTGATATGACTGTCTTCCCCCCGCCCCGCTTTGCTTTTACCTTCACCTGCATGAATTGATGAATCACTACCCTTGCTTATGAGATGTTATTATCGTTCTGAACAGGACAGCACTCGTTCATTTATTCTCTTGTGATAATGCAGTAAGTAACCTGTCCCACTGCTCACACCACTCGGGGTGAAAACTGAGATCTTGATAACCACCTTCATTTGCAGGAGGGTCCCCCTCTATCCCACCCACTGCCTCTCCACACCAAGTTAACCATGGTCTTATACCGGTATTTATCACTGTCTTACTACCACCTCCTCCTCCTCTTCCTCTCCTCCTCCTCCTTTATAGTTTTAGCTTACCTGTGTATTTTAAGAAATCTATCTCCATCCATCCATCTCTCCACCTTTATCCTTCCTTCTATCCCTCCTATCGTGTTTTATTTTGGTTCAGTTTTAACTATTTATCCAAAGGGAATCATGCTGTGTGTAATCTTTTGGACTTTTCTTTTTTAACGAACAGATGCTAAGACCCACTGTTTGGCTGCTTTTTATTTTTAGTTTGTGCGCTTTGATTCTTACATAACATCTCATCACGAGCATATTCTACAACACATTCCTCTACTCTCAGTGTATGGGTACTTGTCTATTTCCAGGTTCTGTGAAGAGGTTGCTACGTGGTTTTGTTCACATGTTCACTTGTGTATATAAGCAAGAGTTTTTGCCACTTAGGAGTTTATGGTCTGGGCCACAGTGTACATGAACATTCAATTTTAAGAGTTAGTGCCAAAGTGTTTTCAGATGAAGTCGTACTAGTGAACTCTCCCATGATCGATATGTAAGCAATCTTGTGGATCTATATCCCCTTTAACATTTGTTATTGTCATGTTTTAAAAATTTTGGTAAATTAGTGGGTATAATTATTGTGGCTTTGATTTACATTTCTTTTTATCAATATAGAAGCTGAATACCTTTTATTGGCCATATTTTCTCTTCTATCACATGGCGGTTCATGTCTTTTGTCCATCTTCCCCTTGTTTTTATCTGTGGTTTTCTTACTGATTTTTAGGAGTTCCTTAACACTAGTCCTTTATTGGTTGTATTTTGCAAACATATTTTCACTGTCATAAAGGTAGCTTTTGATAAACAAGTGTATTTAGTAATAAAGCAGTCAAAATTATACATCTTTTATTTTATAGTTAATACTTTTTGGATCTCATTTAGGAAATCCTTCCTAACCTCAAAATCTAACCGACACCACCTGCGTTTCTATTAAGAGTCTACTTATCATTTTCCCTTTTAAAAATAATAATTGGAGGGAACAAATCTGAGCATTGCTGGGTTTTTGCTAGTTGGTGGCAGACGGGACTTGGTGTGAAGTCACATTCTCTATGACTTGAAATATATTTTTGGTGCTCCCTGGGTCTTTGTCATTTAGGAGAGGTCATCTCTGGTGACGTTTTTAGACTTTACCTCATGTTGTGTCTGCAGCCACAAAGTGGGGTGGGCCTCTCGTAAAGGTCATGGGTTTTCTTGCATTTTTAGGGCCCCTGGGACGAGGTAAAGGGTATCCTTAGTGGGTCGTGCTGGCTCTTCTTGGCTGATGACAGCAGGGGATTCTTGGGGGCAGCAGCACCGCTGTGTGAACACTGAGTGTCCTGCTTGTCTGGTGCTTCCCTGAGCGCTGTGTCATTTCTGCTGCATGCCGCTCTCTGGAAGGAAGGCAAGGTTGTTCCAAAGCAGCAGACAGCTGCAAGCTCAGAGGGTACAGATGCACCGTATTTGTCACCACCCCTTGTCTGGGAAAAGCAGGGATCGTGGCCGCTGAAATGCTGGTAAAACAGGTACCCACTGTTTGCTGCCTGATAACGAGAGAGGTCCATAGGGGTGAAACAGTGCAAAAATAATCAAGAGCCATCGCACTGCTTGTCAATTCAGAAGCCTCTTAGCTCCAGACCCCGAAACTCACAAGTGGCTCACTGGTTGCAGCCCAGCTTACAGCCATCTTTGATCAGTCTCCCTTCCCCACCCCCGGTTAGAGCTGTAACTAGGAACATGGAGTTGAGATAGCACTGAAACTCCAAATGTTACCTCTGATCACATCCCTCCTATCAGATTCTAAGAATTCCTGTCTTTCCTCCAACGTTATAGCCCTGGAATGCAGGTGGCTGGTCCACACAAGTTGCCACCAAACGGGGGAAACCCTTTCCATGACTATAGGGTGCAGGGCAGCCCTCACTGGCCCCAGGACATGGCTGACTTCCCAGAATATCCACACTTGCTTTTCCTACTCTTTTCCACTCTGGCTCAGGGATGGTTCTGTTTGCACC